TTAAATGTGAAAGGGGTGTGATTCCTCTTCTTTCTATGAATATGTGATTTCGAATGCAAAAGAGGCATAAGTCCTCTTTTTATTATGAATGTGTGATTTTCTTATTGTTAAATGTGAAAGGGGTGTGATTCCTCTATTTTAGTTAGATTTGCAAGGATTGTGATTCCTCTATTTTATTTGAACTTGCAAGGGTGTGATTCCCTTATTTTTTATTGTGAAAGATATGCGATTCTCTTATTTTATTTTAAATTTGCTAGTTAAATTTGTGACTAAGTTGAATAGCATTGGTGAAGAATTTTTGAATGGATGTTTAGTTTGTAAGATAGAGCGGAAGATATTTGAAAATGTAAGTAATGATGCTATTATAGATCGTTTTCAAAATATGAAGTTTTGTCGAGTACAATTGTAAACTGATGATATTTTTTGTGGTAATGTAATTTTTATGTATTGCTCGCTTAGTTATGTTATTATAAATTTTTTGATATTATCTTTAAAGCAATGGTGCACCCGTTTTCTTAAAATCCTGGATTCGCCTCTGGTCATAGCGCTAGTATATCTATGCTCAATTATTAAAGAGTAGCATGGATAAGTCATTTTTGATAATTCGATGACATATTAAAACTTTTTTTCACAAATAATATAATGTTTTTATTTTTTTTTGGAAAAATGTAGAACACAGAGACACATGTAATTCCAGGGGATCCAATGGCAATGGTAACAGCACATGCAAGGGCAGCAGAAAATTTTGATAGTGGATTTTCTTTTGTACATTGTATGATTACTGGTACTGGAAATACAGCATATTTAGGAAGGGCATGGAAACAATACTCTAAAGTTGTTTTCTCTTATACTGATATGACTGATGTTATTCACCCTGAAGGATGGTCTAATTTTGGCAAAAAAGAATTTGACAGGTACGTTCGTATATAAAAGTTAAACTCTTTTTTTATAATCAAGTTAAAAAAGTATATCATATATGTTGATAGATATATATAACTTAAACTCTTTATTATTTTCAGCACGGTATATTATGGTGAATACAAGTGTAAAGGAGCAGGAGCAACTTTGGATAAAAGAGTTCCATTTACAAAGAAATTAAGTGATGAAGAGGCAAAACCTTTTATTTCCCTTGCTTATATTGAAGGCTCCAAGTGGCTACTTCCTCCTGTGACACTTTAAATATTTGAAGTATTATGTCGTGGTGCTATTTTAAAGCACTTACAAAATTTTGATTTTCATTTAATTTTTTGTTAAATAATTTCTTAGTTTTTCATGTGTCTATCCTAATTTTTGTAAAGGAATGGCATGTCATTCCTTAATATCTAGGGAACTATTTGCATCTATGTTGTACTTCTTTTTCGTATCAATAAATCGATAGGGGTCAAGTCAAACCCCATTCACGATTTTATAATGAAACAAAAAAAAAAAAAAACTAATATGAAATTGAGGTAGTTATGATTTTCGATTATTGACATAATCAGTTTCAATTAATTTGAAATTAAAATTTAGTTATATATTATTTCCACTTTTTAATGTAAATTCTTTTTGACCGTCACGTATGCAATGTAGTTGTTGTTTTTCTCCTCGTTGAATAGCAAAGAATGTAATTGGCCAGTGATATTTAATAGGTGAAGGTGAAATTCGAATTTTGAATTCGTAAGGACATTTGTCTGCAATGATATTATGTTGAAATGTATGAATATCTCATTTAAAGATTAAAAGTATTAGAGAAAGTGTGTGTATATATATGTGTGTGTGTACATATATATGTGTGTGTATATATTTGAGTCATGAATTTCCCAGTAGACTCTGGATACAACAACATACCAGTGTAATTTTACTAAGTGGGGTTTGGGGAGGGTAGAGGATATGCAAAACTTATCACGGCCTAAAAAGGTAGAGTGTCTGTTTTCGATAAACCCCCGGCTCAAGAAAAAATTAGTCCAAAGATATAGAAAAAGAAATAACGAAAATGAAGATCTAGTCATGGAAAAATACTCTAAATAACTTTACAAATCCTTATGAACAATAATCACAATAAGATAATACGATAAATAAAGTACGAAAAATAATAGATAGTAACCAAACTCAAATGACAAGAAATTGCGATAGTAATATTATGACTAATAGTACGAAAAGATAATCGAGACAACTCTTGACTATCTTACTAACCTTCTAACCTAATTTGTGTCCTCAATAACCTTCTATAGTTAATGTCATGTCCTCAGTAAGCAAAAGTTACGTCATGCCCTATCTAATCATCTCTCTCCAATAGTGCTTCGTCCTACCTCTGCCTCTCCTGAAATCATTCATAGCCAACCTCTCTCACACCTTCACATGGAAACATCACATGCCCGAATCGAAGAATTGTTATACTTTGAGATTTGTTAATTACAATGAAAGCTTACAACAGTCTTATAGGAACGATTTCAACAATTCTTCAATTAGAGAAACACTTTATGTGCTTAGTTGGGTTAATGGAAGCTCTTAAAGTTATTGATGTAGCAGAATGTCAATTGGGCATGTTCCCCTCATTCCATCAGATCGATTGGTAGGATGGTATCCCAATAGTTCATTTAAAAATAAAGGATATGTCAAGACTTTTATGGGTTGAGCTCAAGATATTTTAAAACTGAATAAATTTTAATCCATTCAAGCATTACTTAGTTTAAAATGATTGTCAACTTACCCCGGTTTAATTTCCAGTTTCAACCCATTTTCTATCTTTATTAACTAGAGATTTTGCTTAAATATTTTTCACCATATACGGTTAGATCAAATCTCGAGTCTCGAATCAGGTCAATTCTTTGATCATATATCAAGGTAGGGGTCTCAACTCGAGGTTGGGTCGAGTTTCGAGTCAGGATTGGATTACAGGTTCAGAATTAGGGTCAAATCTTGAGTTTCTAACTAGGGCCGATGTTGGATCTCGAGTCCCATATCAGGGTCAAGTCATGATTCTAGATCCCAAGTTAGGTCTAGGGTCTTAGGTCGGTGTTGGGCCTCGAGTCTTTGACTAGGGTGAGTGTTGCTCCCCAATATACACACAAGTGTACGTGGTCGCTCAAGTAATATAGATTCTTAAAGAAACGAGTTATCGTTCCCAGAGAATTATGATCAACTTATATTTGACACTTAACTCTACAAATAAAATAAAAGAAACCGTATTCAGAAATTGTGATGATTGTTAACTACTACTAATTATGCAATAAATAAAAGTAACCAAGATTGAGCAACTTTAAGATGATGTTTCAAGCAAGTAAAAGACAATTACAGGGCTGCAACATGTAACAAATCTCATGTATCATATTCTTGGCTTAGAACTAATTTTAGTTGTCAAGTTACTGGTTTACAAGATTAATTGTATGAGTCGGGTTCACACTTCTAGTCGCCTACTCCAGTTAGCTTTCTAACTACATCATTGAGCGGGAATACATAGACTAACTGGTGAGCATTTATATTTCATCCTGTTTCGTAACCAAGCAAGTTGTTCGTCCGGTCGTCACTCCTAAACACAAATCACCTCAATCAAATGGGTCGATCAAGCTCTCTATATTCTTTGGTCTATCTAACCCCTCCTCTCTAGATTTTAAGGTTAGACAATAGATTTATCTCTAGATGGTCAGTCAAGAAATACTAAAACAAGAATATAGAAGTAACTTATAATGACAACCAAGAAGTAATTCAAAAAGCCTCAAATCGTCAACAATCAATTCGTAGCTACAGCCCCAGAACTAGGGAGTTTAGTCACTCATGCTATTAGAAAATCACAAAATACAATTGTTCATGCGATTTCCGGAAAATAGAAGAGTTAGAAGATTAAAACCTATTATAAATGTTGATACTTGCTCTTGCACATCAATAAAAAGTAGAACTCTAACAATGGAGCCCTAAGGGTCTATTTATAATAGTTGTATAACTTGGAGTCAAAGCCTACTACAATTAGGAATCCTATTTTAAGCCTTTTTAACTAAAAAAGTCGGAACTTTCGTGGCGTGTCGCGCCTTCCATCGCGCCTAGAACTCGCCTCAGAACTTTCCATTGTGGCGCGGCGCGCCAGAAAAATGCCTTTGAATGTTGAGGCTTGGCGCGTCGCGCCTCTCAATACGCCATCAAAGGGACTCTGATCTTTCTATCCTGGCGCGGCGCGTCTCTCAGTACGCCAGGCCCAGGTGCTTCCACAATTAGTATTGTAACACCCCGACTTTTCAAAACGTCTAAATTAACTCGTATCTTCGTGGAAAGACAAAGAGGGTGAGTAATAAATTAAAAATGATGTGTTATGTGATATTTTAAGTGTTGTATCTCAAGGTTTGAAGCTAGGTAAGTGGCAAAATAAAAGTTGGCGAAAGTTACCGTAAATTCCTTCTTAAAGATTTCTCTGAAATCTGGGTCAAATGTCTTGGAGGTTTTCTCCCAATCTATAAAGATTTATGGGGCCCACAAACTATCGAATCGAAGGTCTACGAGTCTAGTTCCAACGCATCAACCGTTCATTCATACGACTTCAGAATAGAGAGATATTCACATTTTCGTGGGACTGCGCAAGCAGGCACGTGAGGTGGGGCCCTAGGTCGGTGGAAAGTTGTATATATCGTCTTCTTCGAGTTTTTTTCTTGATTTTAAGCTAAAATATACAGAGAAAACATAGAAACCCATTTTTAGGATCAAGTGAAATATAGATTTTCTCGACGTAAGTCCTTGACGAAAGTTATTCTACACGTTGGGCTCGTCATCGGGGTATAATTTGTTTTATCGATTGCGTAGCATATCACATTTTAGAGTTGGGACAGCAGGGGTTTGAATATATTTGAAGGTTTTGAGGTAAATTACGAACCTAAGATAGAGGTAAGACCCTTCTTTCATCGACTCTAGCTTTTAT